GGCAATTGGCAAAAGGTTCAAGCAGTTTGGTGTGGTTTGCGATCAGGTCAGTAGACTTCTTGGCTGGTCCGCCATGGGGACCGAGTTGTCCGAGCATGCGTTGATGTATTGTCTCACAAAACACGGAAGGCAGATAGCACACAATGTTCCATGGATATTCTTCATACAACCAGCTTCCTTGCGGCTGCTCGAGAAAGAAGTATCGGCCTGATCTATCTTGATACAATGCAAGTTCCCCACAAAATCTACCATGAGGTGCTGAATCTTGATACGTTCTCTCCCAACCTTGCGGGTTCAAAGAATAATTCAGGTTTGAGTGAGAACCGAAAGGTGAGCACCTAGGCGACATGACTGCGACCAGAGGCTTGTGTTCTTCGAAATATTGCATCACAAGTTGTTGCTGAGCTGGGTCATTCAGGTCACAGTGTGTTATTAAATCAAAGTTCTTACCTACCTTAAGATGCCTGCGGATACTGATGCGGGAAGTGCGGGCTGCACCTCCACAAATCTCCACAAGATCAACTTGTGAACCAAGGGAACTCAACACATTCAAGGCTGTCTCCATGTCAGCGGCATGGTATGTATGTTCACATACCTCCATCAAATCAAACCCTTCCATCATGCATACTGCATGGTATAGAGCTGCATCATTCGGAGACTTCTTCGGCTCATCGTCAACATTCAAGAAAGGTGCAAGCCCAGACAGGTCAGTGCCGCAATCGTCAAAATGTTCTTCAACCACCACCTTGCGGGGTTGAGGCTTAAGGCCTGCTTCCTTGAGCTTCTTAAGTCGGTCCTTCTGACGAATGCGTTCTTCTGTGGGAAAACATGAAGAGGGGGGCCACACTAGGTCCCCCCACTGTTTGTTCTTGGCCGTGCAGTGGTTCTTCACACAGCGTGCAATATGCTTGACTTAAAGGCATCTCCAACTGGCAACATGCACATGTTGTGTGATGGACTGCAACCCTGATTGAATCGGCCGTGCTGGCGGACGCTCCAAGGGTGTTGGAACCTGAGTTCTTGGAAACCTTTGGGGCGTCCTCCTGTGGTTCTTCCGTGTGGTAGTTGGTTTTCGAGTCGGGTGTGTCATAGTGAGCTCTGTGAATCTGACTAAACTTTACATGGTTCATACCCTTTTCGAGGAACACTGACAACACGGCTGAGGCAATTTCCTGCTGAAGGCGGTGTCTTGGACGCCTTGCAATGCTCATGTTCTGAGCGCTCCAATCTAGTTTGTGGTCATGCTGTGGCACTGAGCATTTACACAGGTGAGATGGGGTCTTCACGTTGCAAAGAAAAACAAAACATATCTTACTTGGTTCTGTTTGTTTGGGGTCCAGCTTCAAACCAAAATGACATGCTCTGTGGTGTGATTTGCAAAAGGCATGGTCACGGATGAGCGTTTGCACCCCTTCATGCTGCCAAACGTGACCAAAAGCTCCAAAGGTTCCTGCCGGAATATGCAACTCGCCCGCCAACTGCAGCCAAGTGCACAACTGGTTCATTACTGAATGCATTCGAGATTTATGGATATGTCTTCCTGGCAATGGCAAATCAATCCACAAAAGCTGAAATTGGCCCTTCTTAATTTGCAATGAAACCTGTGCTGCGGCGCCGGTATTTATTTGCGCTGGTGAAAACCGAACAACCTTCCAATCTGCTTCCTGCAGCTGGGTCGAAACATGTGGGGCTTCTTCACAGACTAAGGCATGCTTCGGCTGAGCAGGGCACACTGTCCGCGTTTGGGTGCCTACAGGATTCACACCTATATGGCTGCAGGAATACTGGATTCTTCGGCAGCTGATGATGATGGATCAACATGCAACACCATGGGTTCTGGACGAACGCCCGCCTGCGCGTCGTGCTTCAGCTCTCCCCAGTTGTCAATTGTCATGATCAAGTGTCCTGATGGGGCCTTATCCAAGGGACACCGTCTTTGTTGCGAGAGCTCGGATGCTTCATTGCCAGCAACTGGTACAAACAATGACTCTTGGCCTTCACGCATACAAAGAGTGGCTGAGAGCGCTGACAACGAACGAAGCCCAAGGAGTGCTGGGAGTCTAGCGCCGCTTCCTCCGACGACTGGGGCCTCGAAATAGTTCAAGCAACATACACGACCTTCCACTGACAGGCGACACGCAATTGGAATGGACACTGTCCACTCACATTTCTGCTGACCCTCACCCACACCTTGCACAAACATCGGCTTCATTCGCCATTGTCTTGGCGTGTACCCGTGTTCGATGGCCATCTTAGCGAACGAACGGGCAGTGTGCTCTCCGATGAGGTTGGTGTAAGCACCTGGGTCAATAATGATTCCGGCTCGATTCGGGATCGATATGGAATGGTACACAGCTTTTGCATGTGAATCCTCCTCGCTGGGCCACCAAGGGAATGTATCCGCATGTTGTTCCGGAGAGAAAAATGGTGTTCCGTCCGGTGATTCCTGTGCGTTTGTTCTGCGGTTCGGCGGCGTGAAAAGAAGGTAAACATCAGGTTGTCTGTCAGCTCGCTCAGGTGTAGCTGCACGAGAGGGGAGCTGACTCGGGATGTTGGCCGGTGCGGATGCGGATTCCTCAGGGATACGATATCTGGCAATGATGTGGCAGTTGCCCCGACACACAGGACAATGCAAGGCGCTGCCACGGCACATCCACTCGGACCAACATTCAGTGTGGTAAAGATGCTTGCACACTAGTCGAAGCACGGATTCTTTGGCAAGAAATAGGTCTTGACACAGTGGGCACTGATCCGATGCTCCATCATATTCAACATCTTCAACATTTATTGATCTCTCACTAATCCGGCTTCGGCGCGAGTTGCGCGCCACCGTCCTCTGCACTTGGTGGAACTCGCCAAGTTCTGGCCTATGCCGCGGATCTAGCTGCGAACGGACTTGCACATTGGGACGTGTTTGTGGTCGAGCATTTCGAACCTGTTGGCGTTGATAAGCAACTTGTTGCTGCACATAATGGAATTCCTCGATCTGGTCTCTCAGAGGTCCTTCCAAGGTCGACTGCTGAGGATTTCTCGTCGGCACGGGCGGTTGCTCACTCATCTGAAGGAAATCAAAAGCGGGATTCATGGCAAACCTCGGCACTTCTGGCGTCGCACGTGTGTTGGCCAGGACTGGCCATGGCATCAACTCACGAAGGTCCGGAGGCATTTGAGCCATAGACGCCCACTGCATATTCCCTGCATTAGGGTCTGAGGACCCTGCCGGCGTGTCACCCATCAAGGGCGATCGAGCTTCTGCCAGTCCAGGAGGTGAGCTATAGCCACAAAGTCCTGCGGCGTCGACGTCCGAGAGGCTGACTCAGAATTTCCGACATGAATGGCCTGTGCTGGCTCTGACACTGCTGACCTACCGAACCCGAAGTTGTTGGACGGAAACCGAAAATACTGCAACGGGTTGTTCTCATGTCTGGCTGATGCGGAAGACGGTCGGGAGGCCGGCGCCGGACCGAAGCTCTGAGGGATCGACGTTGGAATGGACCATGATCTGGTGGTGGTGGACCCCCAAGGGTCATTGGCTTGCAATGGATCTTCTTCATTGCTTTCTGAAACCATGTAGCTTCGAAAGACTTGATTCGGCTGACTGAGTTCATTGGCGTGAGTCGCGAATGTCACGACATGGGCTCTTGATGGGGCAGCGTGCATGTCATCTGCCCCCAATATACCAGCCAACGGACCTGCGGATGCATCGTGTGCACTCCTGGTGGGATTGGCAAAGAACGTTGTTGCCTGGCCGGATGGCTGTCCACCTTGGCGCCGGGGGCACGAACCTGCCAAATGCTCAATGCTTCCACATTCATAACATCGCATGGTCTGCCCATCAGGGCCTCTGGGATTGGTTTTGCGACCCTTACCCTTACCAGGCGCGCGGTGACCACGAAATGCTGGCAAAGCATGTTGAAGTTCAGAATCCGACATCTCTGCAAGCATTGCGGAAGTCTGGTTCTTACCTTTCTTGCCTTTTCCCTTACCTACTGCATAGGCTGATTGCGGCTTGCCTTTACCCTTTCCCTTTCGGCGCTCGAATCTTTTGGCATAGCGGCGAACAGCTCTGGTGTTCTTGCCCATGTATTTGCGCCACTTATGCTTGGCCTGTCGGTAGGCCCAAACCAAATTTTGGGCTGTTCTCTGAGGGTCTGCGCCATCGTCACGGATCGAACTGCACTCACCTGAACTGGTGATCGAGTCAGTGTCTATGTCGTCGTCCTCAAACGTGGCGAAGGCATCCACGGGTTCGGAAGGCATGCCTGGCGTGGCAGTGGCGGGGAATGCATGAGTGTCCGACCACCTATCGGAACCTATGTGGGACTGAGGCCAAGCTTCCTGGTCTGTCCAATAGGCCTCGCTATGGGTCAAGTACGAACCAGATGCATTCGAACTCTGACTGCGAAGCCCTTCACGGATGTTCCCAGGCGCATGCTCCAGGATATGTCCCATCCTGCGAAGACTCGTCTTGAGCTGTGTCAGCTCGGCTTCATTTGCAGGAAACAAACCCCCAAACGGCTGGAGGAGATGCAACAACTGTTGGTCTGAGATCCCGACTGCTCGCAACAGCAGCCAGGCCACACCTTGCACACTCACGATGGCACCTCCTTGTTCGGCTGCTCTGGTGCGAATGCTGTCGAAGCGAACGAGGAGTGCATCGATATTTTCATTGCCTTTTCTGGAAAAGCTCATAAGTTCGGTTACAGCTTGTACTCTTACTTCTTCTCCTAGGTTACCGAACCTTTCTTGTAAGGTGTGCATCAGGAAGGTGAGGGGATCGACTGGTGTTCCATTCACAACTCCCCCCTCCACAACTGCCTGAGGGGGGATCTGTCGTGAGAGTTCTTTTGCAGCTCCTTTCAAGACAAGCATGACACTGGCGGCCTTCCTGGCAGGCTCCATGTCTGTGGCGATGGACCACAACATGATGTCCCGGGCCCACTGCCTGAATGGGTAGCTTCCTTCCAATTCAGGGCTCCAGGACGGTGGGGTACGCAAAGCATTGGAGTTACCAGGAAACATGTGGCACATTATGGCAGCTAGCGGAATACATGTCAGGATTACCATGAAAGGCACTGCTCGCCTCGACACTGCACTGACTAAGCTTATGGTGCTCTTCGGAGGTTCTTTCAAGTCTTCGGCGCCTTGCTCTGCTTGGCACGCTACATGCATAGCAAAACAAAGGGCGACCAAGAAAGTGTTCCTGAAGTTGGCAACACAAAAGGCCGAGGATGCAGCCTCTGCTAAGTCCTGGGCAGTGTGCATGAATGTGTGCGGAGTGCGCGCGTATGCACGGAACCCGACACCCTGGTTGATTTGGTTTTCATGACCTGTGTGGTAATACTCGGATGGACTCATACTTTCAGGGGAACCTGTGTGCCCGACTTGGTCGATATCCACCTGCCTATTGGCTACCATGGACGAGGCCGGGCAGCCTCGGTGAGCAGTGCTATTGACTGCAGGATTGAGGCCGGCGCATTCCATCTCAATTGGATGGGGTAAGAACTGGTGCTCATATGCGTCCAGCTCCATTTCGCTCCAGTCATCACCGCAGCTGTCTGCAATGTTGAAATGCAGTGCTCGCGGTACAGCCCGCAGTTCCACTGTCGACTTGCGCGGTACAGCCCGCCGTTCAGCTGGTGCGTCATGCAACGGTTCAACACAATGTTTACCAGTGCAAGTTCCTAACTCTCGCGGTACAGCCCGCTGTTCAACGGTGGTCTCGTGAGTCGTTCCAGTACAATGTCCACAGCTGCAAGTCTGATCACTTGAAACGTGGGGCAATGTGCCGGCTTCAACTTCTGTCAAATACTGCTCAATATGCGTCTCATTGCAACTGCCGTCCCCGTCAACACTGCGGTCAACGTCAATGTAAACTTTATCAAGACTGTAGCAGCTGCAAGCGCTGTCAAAACTGTCAAAACTGTCCATCCCTTCGTAATCCGGTTTTGTATCGTAGAAAAATCTGGTGTGAAAGTCGTCAGCCATGGTTGTGCTCACGGATCCAAAGCAGTCAGAAAACAAAGGTGTTCGTGTTGCCTCTGAGTGCAGGAGGTCGGGGGCTGGACATTCACACAATCCACCAAACGGTTGAATCCAAAGCTTCAAGCGGTGCGGACACATGTCACTTTGCGAAAGGCGCACACACGTGAAGTCGAAGTCAACCGTTGTCGGTCCCGTGAGGTTTGGGCTCGAGGTCTCTTGTGAATTCAACTCGACTGGCGGCGGATGCAAAAGGTGGTCAAGCCAGTCAAGAACTGTACACGTCACCGATACGGCCTGATTGAACCCTTCCAAACGAAGCTTCCTGTAGTCACGACGAGCAAAGCGTTCGTAGGAAGGCCCTGGATGAAGGGAAAACGGAGGGTGTGTGCGGACAGGGGGTGAGTCAAAATTGTTTCTGCGAAGTTAGTGCGTGAAAAAAAACCTGCCGCGAACTTCTGCGAAGGTTTCCGGGTTCCCGCTG